CTGCCCACCCGGCTCCAGGAAGCACCGGTGAGCTGCCGAGACCCGCGACAGCGGGTGCTGAGCCAGTTCTGCCGCCCTGGGCGGTGGAGGGCTTACTGCTACCTCCCCGTCCCACTCCCCATCCCAAGAATCCTCCTGCTGCGCTGCCCCCCTCCCTGGTGCGGGGTACCTCCGTGAGAAAAGCGATGGGCAGGGAAAGCGTCATTTCTGCTGGCGGGGCCCGGCTCGGATGGTCACGGCTAGAGGCGGCGGGGAGAGGGATCGGGGCAGCTCCGGGACTGCGCGGAGCCGCGGGAAAGGCGCCAGGTGGGGACGCAGGGAGGGGAGGGATGGTGAACATAAGCCTGTGCAACACCCTCTCACAACAAACATCTCCTTCTCTCGGGTGGGCAAAAAGTCGAAGTGTCAACAGAAGGCTTCTCCTGCCTCGGCTGGGAGTAACCCTAACAACAATGCAGATAAGGAAAAGCCTGTAATCGTTTCTTTTCAAATCCGATTTCAAGCCTGGGAAACTGGATGAGCAAAATCGGAATCGGCCATTTCGAAATGAAAGCACCTTTCGAGAGAAGCTTTTTTTTTTTCCCTCCCCCCGTTATTTTTTCCTCCTCTTCTCCCCTGCGATGACTTCTGCTTCCTGACCGGCAAGGCAAAATTCAGAGAAATGAATGCCTACCTGGCTGTGGGATGCAGGTGCCGGAGCAGTGGTGAGAGGACGGACCGACAGCTTTGGCAATAGAAGCCGAATACCCACCAACGCTGAATGCATGGCCGATCCGGGGCTGGTCGTGCACGGGGTGCAAACCCTGCTGCATGAGGGTCTAGGTGTGCTCACACATGTACTCGGTCACAGCGACAATATAAAAAATAAAAATTGCCAATACACTGCCATCCTAAAAATAATGCTTTTAGGGCTTTCTTGATAAAGTGTACTGCTGATGCTGTTTGTTGCTAATTGTTACTATTCTTCTTTTCAAGGAGGACTCCAAGCCCTGGAGCCGCCGCTGCTGCCAGAAGAAAAGGTGTCCCTGGAAGCTCCTGCAGCCAAGTGGGACCTCGCCGGTGATCCCCATCCTTCCATGGAGTGAGTATTCCCCACCATGTGTCTGTCTTGGGAAGGGGCTCTGGACCTACTCCGTGAGGCAGATTTATAACAATTAGCTATTTAACCTTGCTGAGTTTTGAGGGCATACTCTGCTTATTTGGTGCGGTCAGCCAAGCAAATCGTGCTGTTTCCCTGCCAGCTTTATAGACAGCAACAGCAGTTATGTAATCTTACTATTTTAGTCGTTGTAGTCTCATAAGCCTTAATGGAAATGCTAAAAAATTGAAATAAAATCTGGTTCTTGGAGAAAATGACAGTTTAAAACAGGAATATGGTCCAATTGAGGACGGAAGTACAGTTTAACAGAACCTTACTGTTCTGTAAGGAATGTGGTCAGGCTCTAGCTTTCCCCCATCTCCACATCTGGTTGCAGCTCCATTCTGGTTCCCATAGGCATGGGATGCAGGCACATAACTGCTACATCCCCAGTGTTGACCTTGGTTCAGCTATGCCGTATCTAGGGCAGAGTGCAGCGCAAATTAATAAGGTGTTATAATAACATATTATATATTGTTATTATAAGGTTACATGTTTTCTATTTATAAAATATATGTTTTAGGCATTCTTATAATGAAAAAGTGTGAATATAGATTAAAGATAACATAAATGTTTTGTACATGTTTTATATATGTAAAATTTTGTTATAATTAAACCAAGAAGCATAATTAAACAACTAAGCATATTACATATAAAAATAATTAATAATCAAATATATCACGTTGATGCATAATCATAACGTTTTATATATGTGTGTTTTCTATGTGTATTGTGTATATTTTATATAGATATTACATAGATACATTATATACATGAATGACATAACTAAATATTTTATAGCATGACAACACATACGAAGTAATTATAAACCAGGCATTGTATGAAATCACATTACAATAAACAACACGTTACAAAAAAGGTATAAACATTATTTTTCATGTTTCTACATGAGATACCTAGGGGTTGGATACTTAGCAGGAGTGCAAAACCAAGATAAATCTTTTTCACCTTTTCTACAGGTAGCTCTGCAAAGTGCCCAGTTATAGCGCTGAGGTACAACACCTGAACTCTGTCACTGCCTTGCGGGGCTTCCCTTTCTCAGCCGCTGAGGCGCAGGAAGTGTGAGCACAGCCCCACTTGGGTTCCTTGGAGGGAGGCAGGGTCTATCGCTTGTCTCGCCCCGGCTGGGAGCGGCGTGCCTGCCTCCCCGCCCGGCTCGCTGCTGTCTGTGCGCTCCCGCAAGCACAGCTCTCTGGGGGCTTGGGGACTCGCTGACGTGACATCGGCTCTGCCCGCCTCCTCCTTGCACCTCGCCCGAGCCTGGGCTGCCGCTCTATCTTTTTCCTGGGGTGCTCCTATCCAACTCCCCCGCGCCGAAGCAGCCCGTGAAACATGTATCGGCTGTCACAGAAATAACAGATTGCCCCCTCCTCGTTCCCCTGCCAGCCCCAGAGCTGTTTCGAAGGTTTCCTTGTTTCCTCACCGAATGTGTCACCTCTGGGCATCTTGGGAAGCGCTGGAGTTGAGCTCAGATGTATGATTTTTTTATTTTCGTTAATGGCTGCCTTGGTTTCACAATCACGTGATTTTTTGGAAGTATTTTAACTCAGAAGAGGTCACTTGCAAATTGTTAAAACAACGAGGATACTTCAACTGAGGATACATATTGTATCAGGCTTGCAGAGACACAAATTTTTTATTTTCTCTTTCCAGCTCCTATAGTTGCAGCCTACACAAGGAAAGCTACAAATGTGTAGCTGTGAGTTATCAGGCTTGCAGAGACACAAATTTCTTTTTATTTTCTCTTTCCAGCTCCTATAGTTGCAGCCTACACAAGGAAAGTTACAAATGTGTAGCTGTGAGTACGTGTACAGACATGCATAGCATCCTACGTGCTTTTAATAAGGTATTTACCAAAGCTGCAATCACACCAGGAAGCGTTTGCCAGATAAAGGCAGATTGGGTTCGGCACCCCTTCAGATTGCTTTAACCAAAATCAAACAGGAAGCTGTCAGGTCAGGGAGACCCTGAAACCTCCCCCATCTTCTTCAGATGGAGGGCTAGCAAGCCTGAGCGGGGAGTCACCGGGGAGCAGAAAGTCCAGATGCAGCCCCATCAAAACAGAGGAAGGGTTTATAGTACCATATCTCTGTGCGGGGATTTTCTTTCATAATTAATATTCAATATCTGCTGTTCAATATTTTCACATTTAGTATTTTCTCACTTCGTATTTCATGCTTCCTACTTCATATTTCGTATTTCTCTTCAGTGTTTGGACTCTTGTGTGAAAAAAGGGGCCTGGGGACGGCCATAGCATTTCCAGATCAGGATAATATACAGTTATGAGCAAAGAATATTGTCCTTCCTGCATCCAGCAGGGAAACGCGACCCGGGGTTATTCACAACATCGCATGAGTGCTGTTCCACTTGGTGTCCCCCGAGCTGGGCGTGGGCAATAAGTCTGGGGAGGGGATGGCCCGGGGAGAGGTTAGGCACAGGCCGGAGGGTCGCGCAGGTACCGCCCCACGGCTCCGTGCGGGCTCCCCGCCGCCACGTCGAGGGGCAGGCGGCCGCCGCCGTCGGGGAGGTCGAGGCGCGCCCCGGCCCGGTGCAGCGCCGCCTGCGTGCCCAGAAAGCCGGCGCGGGCCGCGTCGTGCACCGGGAGGCAGCCGGTGCGCGGGTCGGGGCGGTTGGGGTCGGCTCCGTGCAGCAGCAGCAGCTCGGCCACCCGCGGGCTGCCCAGCATCATCACCTGCGGGGAGAGACAGCGTCAGTGCCCACCAAAGAGCTCAGGCTTTCTCGCTCGGCTGAGATCCACAATGGAAAGGAGAAGAAAATATGCCGGCGAGGCGTAAAGATCGGCTCTGGACGTGCCACGAACAGTGGAGAACACGTACCCTTCGGGGAAGTTGTGCCGCATTGGAAAACTCTCCTTTACCCACGCTAGGGGACAGGAGAGAACAGGTGGGGCAGAGAGGTGCGGGACTCCTGTCGGGGTCGGGGCGTGTGGATGCACACTGGGGTTGCTCTGAGACAGGAGCGGGAAGTCGGTAGGCTCGGAGCAGACGAACCGGGGGAAGGGGCTCGCCCAGACAGCGCTCCCAGAGAAACCCAGATCAAGTCCTGAGTCGCTTTGCACCGGTCCCCGTGGAACCGTGCCGGTGCAGCGGCGCGCGGGGGCCGCCGTCGTTCCGCTGGCATCGTGACACTTCCCTAGAGTGTACTTGGCTAGGGGGGCGCGCAACGCAGGGAACCCACCGCGCCTTCCCTCACCGTCAGGACGAAACGAACCTTTAGCCTCACCCGCGTGTCCAGGGCAGTACGAACGTACCCGGCAGCCCTCCCCACCGGCCTCGCCGTTTTCTTAGCTGGGCTTCCCTGGCGCACCCAGCAGTGCGTTCAGCACAAGGGATAAGTCCCTGCCGCGAAGACTGGGGGAAAAATCCCCAGAACAAAAAAAAGAGAAAAAGCACTGCAGGACGGCAACAAATACCTGTTTCGAGTGAAATACTCCACCGACATTTTGAGTCGGAGAGTGTTTTGCAGGCACTGGCAGCAAAACTTAAATATAACTTCTCAGATTATTCCAGTTTCGTTTTACTTTGAAATTTTAAGAAAAAAGCTGTCTAGAACTACCTCGGAAACGAACTCAGCCTTTATAAAAGTAACCTCTACCACACCTCCGGGCACTACGTCTACCCACACGTTCAGGGGAGTGTAAAACGTGGCCAGACTGAGCCCCACAGGGATTGCTCGTTGTCTACCTGCAGGGTCACCTGGGCAAGGTTATCGCGACCGGGTATTTCTATTCGTGAGAGCCGCCGAATATATTTTTTTCTTTTTTCCACAGGAGGGGAGACAAAACATACAGTCATATAAAGCAGACGACGAGGTATAACGAAAGACAGATTATTTCTACAAACGTGACTTGCTACATTTTATTGCACGTTTATTGCGAGATAAGCATTAAAGTTCTCGGATTTGAGTCATCCTATCTCAGTTGGTTCAAATAAAGTAAAGGGTTGCTAAGAGTAAAACCTCCTTGTTGCGGCCGTCACCGCAAAGAAGACTTTCTCGTTCCCAGAGAGGCGAGAAAAACCCCTGTGCCGCACCACCTCG